TACTCGGAGTCCATCGAGATGCTCGTGGGAAGGCCTGCCTCGATTTCCTTGGCAGAGCGCCGGACCGACGCTGTCGGAAATCCGTTCAGAGCAGGCCTTCCAGGACTTCGGGTGGGGAGACCAGAGCCCGTCCCAGAGTCGGCCGAATGTACCGATTCAGTATCATTGACAAGCTGCCGCCTGTCGAGTGAAGCCGGAGTTATGACACTGAGACGCGAGGGCGAGATAGTGCTCAATCCATCTGGCGAATGCGGTGCACTGGACGAGCTATTGATGAACGAGGTGATCGAAAGAATGTGTGAGCCCGTTTCTTCAAATGGATTTTGAGAGGCGCTTCCAGCTTCAAATCTTGTCGGAGCTCTTGCTTGTGCAGTCAGCATGAACTTTCGCCGGCGCCAAAACAGGAAGGCTGCAATTGCGCCAAGCGCAAGTAACACCAAAAGCGTAGTAACCACACCTGCGACTACAAGTGTGTGCTGTTGGGTCCTGGCTACGTTCAAAGCAGCCTTTTGCTGCGCTTGAATGGCCGCAGCGTGACCAGGAACACTGTTCAAACCAGGGCAGTCAGCGTTTGTTGACCCAACAGTCGTCACGATCGGTGTCCCTGTAGCCCAACGGCCATTGCTGCTCAAACATATGAGCATGTAGCAGATAAGCATACTCAGCAAACATACACATCGCTCACAGCGGCTAAGCACAGGGGCCGGTTAATGGGTCTGGACCAAGGTTGGCTAAGATGTGAAACTTACCGATGAGTTTCGACGCAGGCTCCGCCCGATTGATATACGTGAATTGGTCGAAGTTCGGCCCTTGCGAGGGTTAGGAATCGTTGACAGCAAGAGAGAATCGGAGCTTACCCATAGTTACATTGGTGATTACGGGGGAGTTGAGCGCGGCGATTGTGATATTGTATGGTGGCTGCCCACCAACAATCGTCAAGCCCCACGGCGCACAAGTCGCTAAAGAATCGGTGACGTTTGCGGTCACAGTAAATGCAGGCTCCGTAGATGCAGGCGTGCTGCACTGTGTCGTCGATCCTGCTATCGCCTCAATTTCAGCAGGCACGTCTGCAAGTAAAGGCAAGAACAACTCACCAACCACTTCATACAATAGCGGGGGGACGCCTCCTGAGCTCCCAGTCCCGTCAAAGACAGTCAGCAAGAGCTTCGTGCCGATAGGCTGATCTACGGTCCATGACAAACTCGAAGCATTGCTGCCGATTGGAGTGACGCTGGGGGTGCCACCGATAGCGAAAACACCCATGAAATACGGCGGGATGCCTAGACTCGTTTCCGAAGTATTGATGTGCACATTGCGCAGGATATTGATCGGGATAGAACGACAACTCGGTAGCTCGGTGGACAGATCCTCAACCTCCGTCAGGACAAGCTGACAGAAAAATCCAAACCACGACGTACCGGCCCACCAAAACCCCATGCAAACACCTTGTTGGCATCCTCCGCGCGACATGGGGTCAAAAGACAAACGAAGAGCAAGATCGTCAAAAGCGTGGAGATGTGGCAAGACTGCATGGTGGTTCGTATGCGCCGAAGTGAGGGTGAAAAGTCCAAAGCCGTGCCGAAAGACAAAAGTTCAATGGAAACGGCACCGGGCCCTGACTGTTTGCGACTAGCGCTCTGTATCCGAGGATAGGTAAAAGAGTTTCTCAGGCGGACAGAAGCCCGAGAAGTACGGCGGACCTTGGAAGACATGAGAGATACCGGCTCTGGCGAGAAAGGGGAGGAATGAAAAGAACGGAAAGAAGCCCTACGACACCAATGCAACCGAGCGGTGACTGGTAGACCAGCGAAAGGAGGTCGTGTTACATCTCATGTCCCAACAAGGATACCATCAAACTCTTGTCGGGATCCAAAACCCCTTGGGACTCGAATCAATCCTCTCTGCCAATCGCAATCTCACTCGCAGCCGAAATGAAGATGTCGAAACATATTCTGTTGTCACCTGGAGGAATATCTCTTTGAAAGTATCGGTAGATATCGGTGCTACATCAGACCATTCAAGTCTGGAGTTTTGGTAAGGCATCAACGCGCGCTTTGCACTCGACGGTTACGTATTCTAGGCATGACAGCTGTGCCTGACGCTGTCAGATTCTGATACTTCAAATCTGTCTCGAGTCCCGTTGGATGTCTGTGATTTGCTGGCCTTTGGAGGCTACTGAGCAGCAGCTTACTTGAGACTTTCTAGTCGCTTGGGTGGATCCCACGGATGGCCAGCGGGCACAACTTGAATGGCGGATTGGTGATTTGTTCGCTAACGAAACAAAATGAGTTACGTGGCGCCGCCCGTTCTTCAGGGATCATGATACAACATTCAGGCCAATGTGATGGATGATGATCTTTCCTACGCAAGTGCACGTTGAAGGTTGACGCTCGAAGCTTGAAGTTGAAATACTTGGGAAACACGGTAACGTGATCTTGTACATGACACGTCACGTGCTAAACATCAAAGACGACATCTGCCGGCCTAAAGGCAGTATTTCCAGGCCATACACTGACGGGCACAACACACTCAACCATCTCCGCCTTGACCTCCGACCAGCCGATCTCACTACCAGCATAACGGACACCAACACCGACGCCGCCGGCCGGATTCGGCTTTACGCCATCGTACGGACCATCACGTTCGTCGCCATCCTGGTCGCCGTCATGATATCTTCCCTCGCCAGAACCCAGCAGACTCGCAGTCAGGAATGCCGCCCAACTGGTTGCCGTGGGAATTTTTTCTGATTCGGGCGGCAAGCGCTGCAGCACAGCCATCTTGTCTGGGGCTCGCCACGAAGAGCCCCATGCTCCGGAATTGTGGTCGGGCTCTCGCTCAAGCGCAGTGACTCGCATGCCTTCCGTGCCAAGATCACTCTGCTCAGAGGACACAGCCACAAGCAGGCACAGCCGCACCTTCCATTCGAGGCCCCCTGCTTTGCGATCCCAGACGATATCAAACGCGGGACTTCCGTCGCTGGGGATGTCCAGGGCAAATCCCAATCTCAAAGTCCCCAACACGAATCGGGCGTGATGTTCAGCATGGACCCGTCGCGTCGTCGCAAGTTCGGGGAAGGATTCGTGCGCTTCGAGCAGGGCAGTCAGCTGTGCGGCATTCGTCAGCGGGTGTATCATTGCAGGAACGGAGACAACCTGAAGGACTCGCCCACGCCCGTTTCTCCAGTTAATCTCTACCACACCATTCACTGTCTCGCCCAACCGATATGCACTCTTCGGGAATGTCAAAACAGCGACAGTGACCCCGTCCTTCGTTATGTCATAGGAAACCTTTCGCAGATTGCGTGTCAGTTCCTCGACAGCCTGTCGGCATCCCATCTGAGGCCCAGAGTCTTCAGATGGAAGTGTGGCCGTGAGGAGCTTTTGCGCGTATCTCTGCAGGTCTGCTTTATTGCCATGTTCCTTCTGCTCCGGAGTATTTTGATCAGGGCCATGTACAGACGGCTTGGGCTGAGAGGCTGATACAGGCCACATCAAATCGTACGGCTTCGGTCGGCGCCCCACTGAATGTGTTAAGCGATGGAAGAGCGAACGTGTCAGTCTTACCGCGGACATGATTATAAACGCGTATAGGCACCTTCATCACCCTTGAAACATTGCCCGGACGGCACACACCGACAACCAACTCGTAAGAGAACCTCACTGTCCTACCCTTGAAAGTAGGCGGCATATTCTCCGGAAGATTGATGGTGTATTTGTCTGCGGCCTGCGGTCAACATCTGTCTGCTCCATCGAACAGCAACTCACAGCTCCTCGACTCGCCTGGTCCTAGCTTGAGATCAACCGCCAGCATTTCGGGCCGGATATCCAGCGTCGGTAAAGGGGTGTCGCCCTCATCTTCAGCACCCCAGATCGCTCGCATCAACGAATTCGATCTGCGATGTCTTGTCTGGGTAGCGCCGCTGAGTCCCGCTGCTGATGCTGCCTGTGTACTTAGGCTGCCTCCGCCTCGCATAGGCGGAGCCAGGGCCGCTCGCAGAGCGACTAAACCTGATGTCATGGGTCCGCCCTGCCCAATTACTACCCGACCTGCGAGGGAGGCATACGTGTACAGCACTTCAGCCTGACTTTTCCTCGCTGGAGATGAAGGATGTCCCTTGCCCAGTGACGCTCGTTTCCGTACAGGAGACTCTGCAGAATCAAACTCCGATATCGGCTCGAGTGCTAGCGAGAACGTGGAGCTCGAGGCCGACGCAGGGGCGCTGACAGGTGAATTAGAGACTCTTGTTGTCGTTATGATCTGTTGGCCATCCAGTAACGACACCTTACGAGCATGCGGGTGCGATGCAGCCAGTGGCAGAGTGTCTGAACGGCGAGAGATGGGAGCTGTACAGATTTAGTCAGTCAGCTTAGTGCAGAATAGCAACGTACAGACAACTTCCGATATGGCACCCGGTGGGGAATGCGGCCCAGAGTCCAAATCACGATTTGGCCTCTCCGAGAGCGAAATGCTAACAGACAAACTCTTTGCTAGCATCTTCTTCCTCCTCTGCTCCACAAGCCCGGGTATCCTCTGTTCCTCCGGTGTAGTACGCCCAATGACACCTCGCCTCCTTGGCCGCCCATCTCCTTCTTCACTCGTTGGCAATGGTGTTAACTGCTTTCCTCGCGGCGTCGTCGGTGTCGCCGGATGCGCACTGGGACGCGGTGTCCCTGGCGACGTGGGCGGTCGTGCCAACGGTGCAGAGCTGATCGAGTAGGCATTCCTCTTGTGGACTTGTGTGTGTGCTCGAGCCCTCGATGTAAGGACGGGTGTATGTGTATCCGCTATGTGTGTATTCGTGTATGTAATCGTGACAGCAAAGGCTTCCCCGGCAAAGTACGAAGACTGAGAGGGAGTTACGGTAATCCGGATCGGGGTGTCCACGTCGGGCTTGGCCATCAGGAGGAGTATGCAGAGGGACTCCCAGGCGACTGGGAAATTAGCGTTGGATGGAATACAACACAGATTAGATGACCAAATCAGCCACAACAACGCGTCTCTTTCACTTCTCTTGAGGTCCATGGATTACTTCCAGTACGTCTGACCTCCCTTGACCTCCAGCTGACGTTTAATTCAAATCCTCAGGCCAACCTACTGGGCCAAGCCCACTACTTACGTCGAGGACGATCTCGATTTGAATCTCGACATATTACACCATCGCCCATCAAGGATCCAGCCCTGTGCAACAGCGCACTTTCACTGCACAGGCTCTCCTCCATGCTTGACGCCACCCAATCTGAAATCTTCTTTGCCTGCACTCAGTCCACCTTTCCCATTCGTGTCGTCAATTTCCTCTGCGTCGTTCCCTACATCGGTCACAGATTTTTCTTTCCCGCAATGGACACCTGTCCGGAGCTACGACCACCCCATTCACGAATCAGCCTCATCGTACATTTCTCCGGTTCTTCGTGCTCGTCCGGCTGTTACTCTTCCCAAATTCTCTTTGTTTGATCAAGCACCCTGCTCTGCGATGGCCGCGCATATATCTACGGGTTCAACATTGCTCTCCCCTTGCAAACTGGAAACCAGCTCCAAGACACTGTCTGATTTTGCTTTCAACTATAAATGCTCGTACTCCACGCCCCCTCAGCGCATAACACGATCGCAGACAAACGCACTGACGCCCCTAACGCCGTTAACACCTTCGCCGACTAAGAATCTCGGCCGTCAATCCAACAAACGCTTCATCATCAACGATTCTGACTGTGATTCACCGACCGCTAAGCGTGCAAAAGTCAATCCATCTCTACCTGCTTATAGCACAAGAACGCTTCCTTGTCCGCCTTTCGTGGTGTCTCAAGACTATCCACTGTTCTATCGTCGATTCCCTGCCAGCTCGTACTTTCAGTCTGTGGTTTTCTTATCCATATCAAGTTCATGCTTATTTGATGATCTACGCAGAGATGTGTTTATTTTCTCCAACCCAGGCGGTGAATACAATCCCCCTCGAAGTGCACTGGATCTTTATAGTCCTCGATTCGTCAAGGGTCGCGGCGCAAGCAAGGTGGGGCTTTGCCCGATTTGCGTGGAGCGCCGCGAACGTGGTGGGGAAGGAAAGAAAGTATGGCTGCCCATGAAAGTCTCCGCCTTCAAGTGTGTCTCCTCGTGTCTACCATTTCGGACAAACACTGAAACTAGCAGCTATCATATGCAGTACTATCACGGCATCTCAGCAGCAACGGGAAGACCCCTTTCTCCGCCAACGAATTTTCGTCTTGTCGGCCGTCCGAATCACAAAAAGGGCGAACGTTCATCCATACAGGAAGCAAAGTGTCATAAATGCAACAAATGGATCGTTGTACAAACAATAAAGGATATACCAGTCAAGGTCAGCAGCATAGCTTACATAAAAATTCGTAGACATGGGGCTTACGTTGTTAGGTTCCTGAACTATTTTGGTGGAAACATGCTGTTGGATGTCACAATGGCAGTGCTCTCCCAGGCGAAAAGGATTATTTTGAGAACGATGCTGTTTATCGCGTGCTCGTTGATGCAGATACTGGCCATGCCGTTTGAGCAACTCGATCCACCTTGAAATCACTGTATTATCTTGTACTTACTGCTCAAATGGCATTTGCAACGTTATCGCATTTTTCAAACCTCTATCTTATCTATAGCAAAAATCTATCAATAAGCACCTATTACTGTAGAGTTCTTTCCTCTCGCACTACTACGATGGTCCACGCTTTCACCCTCTTATCCCTTCTGTTTGCGGTTTTCCCACTCTCTGAATCCCATTCTCATCAACACCCATTGAATACTGAGCCATCCCAAACTTGGCTGGAGAAATACGGCAACCAGATCGACCAGCCATTCTCCGGTCCCTTAGCTTTTGCTCATCTTCCATATACGCGTTGCCTTGAGGATGAAGCCGAACGATTCGACATTGCACTCCTCGGAATGCCGTTCGACACTGGTGTGTCATATCGTCCCGGGTGTGTGTCCGTTCCTGAAGAGTTTCATCAAATTATTCATATGTCAGAGCGCGATTCGGGCCGTACGCAATCCGTTCTGGGAGTCGGAGGCAGAGGGAAGCACGGGGATACACTATGACTTGGCAAAATAATCCTTACAGAGGTGAATATTCTACTCGATGACTATCTTTTGCCTTCCTCACCATTTTAGACGCCAAAATAGTGGACTGCGGTGACGTCCCAATTGTTCCATTCGATAATGCGCTGGCCCTTGATCAGATGGAGGTCGCGTACGCGAGCCTTCTTGCGCGTCCGACATATGCGCAGAATTTGACTCACCCTCGGCTTGTCAGGTGGGCTGCTCTACTTCCCGCTCAAGTCCTTTTTCAAACGATGGAGCCGCAGCCTTGGCGGTGATCATACTATCGCGAGTCCATTTCGGTGTTTATACGGCGAACGAACACTGAGACGACCCCCAAGGTTCTTCCGATTCTTCGTGCACTGCACAAAATTCACGGACCGATCAGCGTGATCCATTTCGACGCTCACCTGGTTTGTGTTTCCAATCCCATCGCAGTCGGTTCTAACCCACTTTCTAGGACACCTGGTATGCCTCCTCAACCAAGTGCACACATCACGGTTCGCGTACATATACCCACAGGCCGAGCTACGCCGGGGCGATAACAGAACAGTCCAAGGTCACACACGGCACATTTTTCTATCTCGCACAGGAGGAGGGCCTAATCACCAATACGAGTGTGCATGCTGGGATACGGTGCAAGCTTGCTGTAAGTGCTGACGCATACTCGACAAGCCAAGCCGATGAGACCTCAGGGCGAGGAAGATCTGGCAAATGATGAGCAAGTGGGCTTCCAGCTCATATCGACCGACGACATCGACGACGTAGGCATTCCAGCCATAATAGAGACCATCCGAAATCGTGTCGGCAACTCTCCAGTCTATCTCAGGTCAGTGGTCCACTGAGTCCGAGTCTCAGTCCACTGAGACTGGTTGCACAGCTTGGACATTGACGTCATTGGTACGCCCTTGCGTTTTTCGCTTACATTTCGACTCAATACTGGTCAGACCCTGGCATCGCTCCAGGAAGTGAGAGATGGAGTCGTCCAATTTGCCCCTCTGCTAATCGATTTCCAGCTGGGACGCCTGAAGCGGGGGGTTGGACGACCCGCGAAGTCAAGCGCATCCTCCGTGGTCTCGCAGGGCTTAACTTTGTGTGCGTGTGATGGCCGCATTTCATCTCAGCATCAAAGCTGACCAAACCGAAGTGGAGCTGATCTGGTTGAAGTCTCGCCTGCGTACGATTTCGCTGAAGTTACTGCAATCGCAGCTGCGGATCTGGTGCACGATTTTCTATCCATGATGTTGCTGGACAGTCCGCCCCCTAAAAGACAGCTGACTGCGAAGAAAGCAGCCACCTTATAAATCTGCAGTCGCGTTGGTTCCTACCATACTTACAAGTGCAATATTGAGTACGATTTCCGACTACGTATCACGTGATATTTGTGCTTAAATTCCGCCTGTGCGAGCATCTATCTGCTTGATGACCGATATCTGCCACCTTCGACGAGACCTCGCTTGCTCCACGATCTCTTTCTCCTCGCGTTCCTTATTGATGATGCCCAAAACCCTCACCTCCCGGCCCAACTCTGCTGCATCGTCGGTCTCGGCCTCCTCCCCTCGCTCTTCCTCCACGATTTCGTTGTCCCCCAGATCGATATCCGTCCCATAAACATCCTCCGGCCTGACTTCTGGGCTCGCGCCCTGCCCCCCAGAAAATAGCGACGAAATGGGACTAGTGATCGTCGACGCGATAAACGCGTGCGCGTCATCCAAGATCGTGCGTGGCTTGCGAAGCGGTAAGCTTGTTAGTATGTACGTCTTTCGTCTCCAGTCGGAGGTTGGCGTGTGCGCTGGCGCTGACACAGAGGGATCATGCGTGAACTGGAGGGTGATTTCGCCCGTCGATGGTGTGTAAGAGAAGCGAGGGAGGGGGTGCGAGTAATGATTCGGATATGGATAGGTAACAGGTCGGCGGTGACGAAGTACCAATTGATCACCTGTGATATAGTAAAGATAATGCGATCATGTAGCGAGAAAGGGACGCAGACCCTCGATATCCACGGCATGCCCAGAAGCTCTGGAACACAATGCCCCGCTCGTGTCAATGAAGAAGACCTACGCCTAGACTTCATGGAACTGGTTCCGAGATAATCACAGATGCCCACCTGGTTGTCTGCCTCTGGGCGCCTCCGATTTTCAACGAGAAATTTCTCTTTCTCTGGCCAGAGCAGGATGGGTGCCCCGTCCGCGTTGCTGTGACCGCCCACGTCAAGAAGGCGGTGATTCGCCTCGGAACGAATGACAAAGTAGCCTGGAGGAAATCCGTGGGTTGTTATTTGACCGTCCGTGGCCATGGTTGCGGTCAGACTCGGAGCTGATTGTTACTTAGTCCTGACTGCAGCAGATGTGCACAGCCTTCTTCCGTTATCTGATTCGAATAATCTTATCTAGCCGCAAGAACGAACGATGATAGTGGAACTTTATGACCTCTCTGTCTATCTCTGTCCATCATGCCACAGATAACCCTCAATGGCGCAGAATTTGAATACAAGCTTTCTGGTCCACCCGACAGGCTCCTAATTATCCTGCTGCATGGCGGGCGTGGCTTCGGTGAATCATTCTTGCTGACCGGCACATCAAATGTACATGACGATCGATGGAATGCAGGCACGACTTCCCCGTGCCCCCACAACCTTGATCGCTATGCTGGACAAGGTCTTTTCGGTCTTCCAGGACGATCTTGAGTTTCGACTGGTCATGTTTGCACTGGGTCCACTGTACGCAGAAAGCAGAAAGTTCAACGCAGACGTTGCACTGAAAGCAGCCCGGGTCGGAATTTACAACACAGAAGTTCACAATAGGCGCTCCTTCCTCGCGCGTTGGGCAGTCACTGCACACAGCATGTCTAGATGCACTCTACTCCAAAGCAGAGAAATACTTCGAATATCGGGACAAGCTTGCGACTATTTCCGCCAAGACACTGTTCATAGTTGGAGAGGAAGATCGAATCTGTCCGCCCTGTGCGTGTATGCCAGTGTCTGAAGACTTTGCAGCTGGATGCTCTTTGCAGCGCAGTCAAAGGTCATTGCGGATCTCATTCCCAACTAAAGTTTGGTGATGGTCCCGGGTGCCAACCACTCGGTTCAAGTGCAAAGAAACGAGGTTTTTATCAAAGCAGCGCGCGAGCTCCTCGAGGAGTAATGGAACGTTTGAGCAAGACCATTGTTGAGCTTGAGAAGTGTATGGATACCGAAGTTGTCCAAACTGGGAGATAGCGACCGCTTACACGGCAAGAATCGCACTACCCACTC